TTTTTTTTTTCTTCAATATATTAATGATTCTATTGTATTTATATATTTATTGTAATTAGGAGGACCACAAGTTTATTAGTGTTTGTGCACTATCACGTGCTATCCTCAATAAATAAAGTCTTACTAAAGGCTCTTGTAGAACTTGTGCAGAGCATGATAGATGTTATATCCTTATCTTGACAAAACCCAATATCTCTATCATTGCTATCAATAAAAAAAAGTGTTACTTACTCTATAGCAAGTGAAAAAAATATTGTGGTGCAAAATTACCCAGGTTAAGAAATTGTACCTAGCGAAAAATTAAATTTACCTTAGAAAAAAATTACCTGCAACATATATATTTACCTTGTGACACCCTTAAGACCCTAGATAGCATTCAGTCCTTTAGTGTTAGAATGTATTTCAAGTTTTCCCCACCAGTGGCGTATGTTGTTGTTGTTCAGCCTTAATCCAACAGTTCCTCATCTTTCCATCGTAGATTAATTGTTGTTTTTGTACTTTTGAAAGCATGTGGTCCATACCTGCCACTTCTGCAAGCCCAAATCTTATGGATTGTGTCTGTTTTGTTTGTACTGGGGTTGAAAAGACACCTATTCAGCAGCAATTTTTAGGTTGACCTGGCACAAAGCCAAATGTAATCATGATTTGATCTCTTTTAAGGAGAAAAAGCTGGGGAGGAAGTCGCACAGAACTTAGAGGAACAGAAAGACAAAACAGCAAAAGGAGCACTCAAGCAAGAGAATGGTTTTCTATCCACAAAAAGACCTGACCAAGGAAGAAAGAGACAAACTTTACCTCCAGGAGCTAAGGATAGACAGAATAGGGGCAAAGGTGGTTCCCAGCCATCAATGTCAGATCAAAAGTCATCGAATGTCCAGCAAGATGGTAATGTTGAGAAAGTTCAAGCCAGTTTAGATTCAACTGAGCAGTCTGCTGCTGCCTCTTCTTCTGGCAGTGTATATGATGGTGATGGTCCTGTTGCTTGTGCTGCTGGTGCTACTGCTTCTGTTAGTGTAACTGGCAGTGGTGGTTGTGCTGCTGATACTTCTTCTGGTAGTGTAACTGGTGGTGCTACTGCTGATGATGATGCTGCTGGTGATACTTCTGGTGGTGTAACTGGTGATGCTGCTGTTGCTGCTTCTTCTGTTACCCTAACTGCTGGTGCTGCTGCTTCTTGTGGCACTGTACCTGGTCCTGGTGATGCTGCTGGTGGTGCTGCTGGTGATGCTGATGCGGATTCTTCTGGTAGTGTAGCTGGTGGGGGTGCAGCTGCTGTTAATGTTCCTGGTGATACTTCTTCTGGAAGTGTAACCGGTTGTGGTGCTGCTGCTGATACTTCTTCTGTTACTGTAACTGCTGGTGCTGCTGCTTCTTGTGGCACTGTACCTGGTCCTGGTGATGCTGCTGGTGATGCTGATGCGGCTTCTTCTGGTAGTGTAACTGGTGGGGGTGCAGCTGCTGTTAATGTTCCTGGTGATACTTCTTCTGGAAGTGTAACCGGTTGTGGTGCTGCTGCTGATGTTACTGCTGCTTCTTTTGGTAGTCTACCTGGTGATGCTGCTGGTAATGTAACTGGTCTTACTGCTGGTGATGGTGCTGGTAGTGAAATTGATGGTGAGGCTGGTGCTGCTGCTGCTGCTGCTGTTGCTGCTGTTGGTAATACCAATGTTGGTGGTGATGATGAGGCTCTTGGTCTTTTACCTGTTGAAGAACCTGAAAATCCTCCTGAAGGAGTTGTAGCCCAAAGTGACAACAGCTTAGCAAGTGTAACAGCCACTCCAATCCAAGAAGAGAGACTAGAAACCGAAACTGCAGATCCCACTCAGAACAGAACACCTGAAGGAGCAGAGGACCTCAGAAATGAAGAAAGAGCTGCACAGGGTGATACATATGAACAGTCTTTTGGTAAGTAATTGATACAGCTACATCCAGACTAATTAATTGAATGATTAATTTTAATTGGCATGATTGTTGGCTACCCCAGGAAAACAGCCTAACACATAATGAATTATCAAGTTTACCCTTTATACCTTAACACCAGTATGCATATTCTCCATAGAATCGCTTCATGGAATAAAATATTGCATTCTGATTGGTTAATGAAGTAAGGTATTTAGCATGGAATTGTGAGTTGAAAACAAGGCTAAATGATATTGTTTCGCATGTGCGAAACAATATCATTCAGCCTAGTCTCTTTTTTGTTTTTATTCAATTATGCGATTCAAGGAAAATCCATTACTTGACCCTTGAATTCTGCATCAAATTGCATCAAATTGCTCTTGAAAACCCATATCACACTCATCACTTCGCAATTTGTGCAGTATTGGTTTTTGCATGCAATTTAATGTGGAATTCCCCTGTCAAGTAATGAATTTTCCAATAGTATTCTTTATACATTCCCTAAGGTTCTGACAAGATTTTGTTTGATAATCAAGAGTTTCTTCAGTTGGTGATCATTTTCTTTATGCTCTTGACCTTAATGTTTGACTCAAGGGTGATGTTGTGAGGAAAAGTTAGATGATAATCACTTTTTGGGTTAAAGGGTCTAACTGTAGTTTTATTTTCTGACACCTCTAGCTCAATACACAGTTTTATGTTCCAGAAAAACTACCCACAGTTTTAAAATGTATTTATTGCACGAGGCGGGCAGTCAGAGGGCCAATAACTAAAATCAACCAATCAAAATGCTCTATTGCCGGTCAATATTCTCTAAGTATTGGACCGGGCACTGTCCCGAATGGTCCCAAATGACACTGCACTTGTGTCCCTTTGAACTTCAATCGTATAATAAATCTCTTATTAACCAAACTTGCTCGGGACCGAACTGGAAGAATATCAGCCCTCAGTCTTTCTTGTACGGACCTTGCTGCACTCGGTCCGTACTGTCAAGACCTCGGGCCGATGTTCTCCCAGTATGCCCCTCATGCTTGGTTAATAAGATATAAATATAATTTTACATGCATTTTCATGCATTTTCTGTGTTCACCCGACCCACCAGACAGAATTTTTAATATCATTGGCAGTGAGTGCCAAATTTACCATTTTACTCCCAGCAGTAACCAACAAGAAAGTTCACCTTACAATATCCATACACTTTCAAGGCAGGGTTCAGTTGTGCAAATGGCAGATAGTGTTATACAACAGAGAAATCATTATCCATCAGACAAGCATTTAAAAAAATGTGCTGCATTGTCCACTTGGCCTTGGTCATTCAAAGGCTAGGTAGTGCTATCCACTGGATTAATCTTTATCTAGGGGATGAATGTTTACAAAGCTTAAACATACCACTCTATCTGCTCGATAGTAATTTATCCAGTGGTTAGTGTTTATCTGGTCTTCAAACGACCAGGGCAAGATTTAGATTTATTCAGCAGATAGTGTCATCCATGGGCCAGAAAGGTTACAAGAAGAAGGAAAAATAACAATGAGGGGATGTTGCTTGATTTAACATGAAAGTCTCTGAGCTAGAATCATAGGCAATATCAAGGGAACATTACTGAGAATATATGATTATTTAGATATTGAGAGTGAAAGGGCCAAGAGTTGTAAGGCTTTGAAGGGTCTGATCAAATCAATAATTATAATAAATTTTAGGTTTATCTAGCACTGCAAGCTTATGACTGTTGCGTGGTGGTCATGTCATATTTTAACATTTTCTTTATTTCATTCTCTTGTTATAGTTTCAAATACAATACAAAAAAATAAATTCCTGGAAGACAAGTTAGCATGCAAACTTGACCACACAGCGCATCGTTGCATACGTGGCTGGGAACATCTGGCTTGCACAAAAGAAGTGAATGCACCTCTTGAGACTCGCCTCAGGTGTAAACTAGTCAGTAGGGGCAGTTGTACTCGCACACTTATCGACTTCTTGGCTGTTCAAGAAGGAGATAAATCTGTACAAGATTTAATTGCAGCATTAAAGGATATAAAGAGAAATGATGTAGTCAAAATGATCACAGATGTTTATCCGGGTATGTTTTACCATGAAGATTTTTAGTTTTTGATTTTTGTTTATTTGTGAACATCTTTTACTTGTTTTCTGAACTTGTCATGTGCACAACTTGTACAGCCTCCGCACATACATTTGTGTGAACATATTATGTTGCCTGAAACCACAGCAGAACTTGTTTAAAAGGATTAGAAACAGATATAGATTGGCTAATTAAGATCAGTTCCTGAATAAAAAAGCATATCTTTTTTTTTTATTTAGTTTATTCCAAACTTTGTGTTGAGCTCTGCATGTGAAAAGTTTGTTGTCAGAAATGGGTCTAACCCAAATGACAAACATGGCATTTGTTAAGCTTAAAACAAATTATCCTGGATACTTCAAGTTTTGTTTTTTGGTTATCCTTTGTAAAGTATATAATTATTTATCCTTGCAAACAATAACCATTCTCATTTTGTTTAGGTTTGTTCTCACTTTATTGGTGGTTGTTGTATTGGGCAGATTATATCCAAGCTTTAGTTTTAGTAGCTCAACATTGGTTGCAGAGTCAAAATGTTTGATTTAGGTAAATCTGGGCAAGAAGAGCATCACCTACTGTACGTCCTTCTTTTAGCCTCCCTGTCTTGGGAGGGGATAATTGGTAAAGTGACTTTTTTTTTTCACTGAGAAAATGATGCTAGTTTTGGTTCACAGCATGAAGAGTTTTCAGAAACTAAGGGGCCAATAACCCAGATTTTTCATCAAACTTATGTCAGCATGTGAGCAAAGGGCCACGAAAAGTCCCTTTAAAGGGGTAGGGTGGTGATGAAGAAAATGTGAGAACTTTCAGGGATACATCTTGCCTTTTATGCAAAAGCTTACTGTTGCTTCTCATAGTGTCTTTCAATTTTATTCAATAATGATGTTACTTTTTTATCAGATGCTGAACATTCTACACAAACAATAAGTGAATTTGTAGCTTCCAGTGACAACAATGACCTGATTGAAAAGATAACTACAAAACTGGATGAGAGATCACGAGTTAATGCATGCTGGATCAACCTGGGCAGGAAATTTCAAATTTCTAGTGAAAAGTTGAAAGAAATTGAATTATGTGGTGAAACTAATCCAACAGAAGCATTAATGGAATATCTTTACACCAAACGAGAAGATCTCACTGTGCAAAAGTTTTATGAGATAGTTAAGAAACTAAAGCGAGGAGATGTTGCCAAAAAATTGGAACCTTTTCTTGATGGTGGGTTTGTATGTATTCATATTTTTGTGCCTAAACTTGAGTTAGAGAGAGGGTTGCAAACATTAAGCAATCACTGGTTGTTGTGGAAACTAATATAGTCATAATGGCAAAAAGTGTCACTTAACTTTTCAACCTGGGGGGGGGGGGATACACTTTCCAAGTCTTTGGAATGAGAACTCTTATTTTACCCAGCTACCACCTGTTGATCAATTATTCTTGTTGGACAGAAAATGTTTTTTAAGGTCAACCTAAATTGTTACTACCTTTTTTCAAATTAAAATTATTTCAACATATGAGAAAGTCTGTGTGGAGGATTGACAGTTTCTTCTCAAACTTCTGGATATGCTTTAATTTGGAAATCATGAGAATCTCTTCAGAAATCTTCATCTGGCGTCTTTAGACATAATAGGGTCTTCGTAAAATTTTCTAAATAAAGACATGAATGCCTTTGAGTTAGAAACGTTTGCATATCTTCACCATAACTTCTCTGTCACTTTTAATATGTCTGAGTACCCTTGAGGTACAAAATTCAAAATTAATAAAGGGAGTTTTTTTCTTTCTTACAGAAGCGAACCCTGAAAAGCGTCTTTGGGATGCAATAGATTTAGAGTCGGATGAAATGAGAAGCATCTGTGTTGATCTAAATACACAAAACAGAGCACTGAAGAACTGGAAGCATCTGGCCAATGCACTGGAGGTTCCCAGAGATACGTACTCAGATTTTAACCCACAGCAGCCAAAGAGTCCTACTAAAGAGTTGTTAAATTGGATCTATGCAGAGAAGAATGATTTAACAGTTGGTCAGCTTTGTGCTGCTCTGGCAAGCATTGGGCGGAATGATGTTGTTAGAGACTTAAAGAACTACTTTAAACCGCCTCCCTCTGAGAACTAAAGTCTATGATCGGACCAAAATATTCTGTGAAACAGTTAGTATCCCACATTACCTACAACCGCAAAAGCACGGTAAAGGAAGGAGACAGAACTGAGTCACCTGCTGTGATGTTGGATACAAGAGAGCTCGAAAGCCAAGAGAAAATAACGTGTCAACATGAAAAACGATCTTTCGAGGAGTAATTTCAAAGAAACTGAGTCTCTGTTCCTCCTCTTGGCAAGGCTCAGGGTTAACGAGCTTCCATGGGCCACCCCTAACGCCCCGGGTTTAGTCGCCCAAACATGATTCTGGGAACATGTTAACGAAGTTGTCTGCAGATCGTAATAAAGGTAGAATGTTACGATAGGTGGTTTTTATCCAGTGAAGGGGTGAGCAGTTTTAGCTCTATAAATACAAAACAAAAATGCGCTTTATTGAGAGTGATGATAGGCTGAAAATTAAATGTGTAAAACACATGAGCCACAGATTACGTAAGTTTATTTCACATTTAAATGTAAATTAGCTAGAGTTTGAGTTTTATTTTTTTCGATTTTCTTTTTATCCAATGGGGGACTTACATGTATGATCTTGGGAGTAACCGTGACCCAGTAGCTTCTTGAGATCGCTTTTCGTATTAAAAGAACTACAACCAGCATTTTGTAAGCTTACAAAGTTAAGTTGCTTTAAACAGAAAAGAACAACAACTAACATTTTGTATGCTAAGAAAGTTAAGTTGCTTCAAGCAGCATAATAAAGTAATAACCAACCTAGACGGCAAAGCCATCGTGTTACTGTGGTAAAGAACTTGGATCTTACGCGAATAAGTTAATATACTGTTATTCAGACTGTTTTCCCACGGTGTACTTGATAGTTGAATTGCTCATGGACCAAGCCTTCGGTTATGCATAGTGCCCTTTGATTTGCTGGAATGTTATAGGTAAAATGTAGTTTTCTTTGTGTTCTAATAACCAGAAACCGACACTTACTCTTACCTTTCTTTTTACCGTATTCATCGAAGTTTTTGGACAAGTATTTACATTTGGAAAAGAAAATAGGCCTTAAAATGTGTAGGATTGTCTTTGTTCCTACATTTCCAAGTGATAGTTATCTTGCCCTCTTTGAACACTCCCAAGGCCAATGCTCAATTCTGTTCCTTAGCAGGAGAACATGACCAGTCATGGTACATGTTTCACGGATTTAAAGAGTAAGCAAAGTTCCTGTTATGAAGCTGACTTCACATAAAAAGTTTAGTCTCAATATCATCGTCGAAAGGCCTGGGAATCCCGTTTTATAAGTCAGCCTCGTTTTTATGCTGAACAGTGGTTTGTCCACGAAAACACCCTCAACTTAAAACCTATACCACAATTTGACTTTACAAACTACCTGGCGTCAGCAGGTCTTCTCTATCAAACCTTTTCTAACTCGTGGGTTGTGCGAAACCTCAATTTTCCAGTCCTGGCTTCCGGACTATGGTGTCGGGATCGAAAAACTACTTTTGCAACAACAACAAATTGCGATGTTGATGGTGAGATATATTATTTTGTAATTTGACCGGCAACGAAGTGAATTTTTGAATGTGTACCTATGGCATGTAAGTACATATGTACATATGACAGTCTGCGGTCTTTCCTTACATTTAGGTAGCTCGGAAAGCCGCAAAACTCTTGAACAAAAGTTCATCTTTCAATCGGCACTCTTAATTCCACTGGTATTAACGAACGCTTTTCATTCTAATAATTTTTTCGTGTTTTTCTCGTCGCCATGTCCCCACCAATAGCTCCACTTTTTGCATATAAACCCACACACAACCCACGATTCCTCCATTCACTCTGGTGAAAGGCTAAGGCTCGCAACGTCAGCTTTTTAACTCGTTACCGTGGCCAATTTACAATTTCAACCTAGTTGATATAACCAAATCACCTTTTATGGGCTTGGCCTATTTAGACCACCCTTACCACTGATGAGCAAGATGGGATAACCAAGGAAGCGAGTTTGTTTCACTAGTTTTGTAGAACCTAACAAGGTTCGCCTCAAGACATACCAGACAGTAGGTGGATTTTGTCAAAGCATAAGATTTTTCGCGCTCGTCCCTCCTTCCGAATCAAAATGGTTCTTTACGTCGAACCTAACTCAAGCCTAACTAGTCAAACTGTTACAGAAAGTGCACAAGGAATTCCAGATCGCTGGCGAAAGTCCCAAATGGAGCAAGGCAAGGGATGTTATTGAAATGTGGATCAGCAGACCGCAGAACCTCTGGAAACAGTGGAACCTGCCGAACCAAAAATTTTTTTTTTTAAGAAAAAAAAATAAATGGAAAGAAATAAAAACTTAAAATACCGTAACACTGTTCGAAATTCGTTTTCGGGTATAAAGAAGATGACGTTGATAGGGATTTTTTTTAACGTCTGTGATGTCCATTTAGAAATAACTGACTTTAATTATAACGACCTTCACCGGACAAGGGTATGTAATGTCATAAGGAGCAATCATCAGTCACCTTCATTTGAAAGCTCTAACCACAGGCTTACCATCTTAAATATCTATGGTTTCGGGTTTCTATGGTAATGGGTTCCTGTGGCATTTACATAGCCGTTACGAATGTAGTTTTTATTTATTT